TTTTTTTTTTAATTATTATTGTAAAACATTAAGTTGAATGATTTTTTATTTTTTTTTGCTAAACTTAAGTTGAACTGATTCATTTATTTATTTTTATTTGCTAAACTTAAGTTGAATGAGAAGCGTCATACCATAACTGAATAATATCGTTCTTTTATTCAAAAACGATTTGTTTGAACAGTATACCACAATTGCAACCTAGACTGGTACTGATGCTCCCAACCCACAACCGATTGATCTCGGTAACGGAACCACATGTTATGAATAGGCGGTAATGGACAATTATCAGTCAAATCTAAACGAATGTAGTGTTCTACGGTACCAAGATGACAAATGGCAATCTCACGACATGGTCCTCTAGCCGATGATCGTGCAGTGAGAGGCAACACTGTGGTGCTGAATAAGTCGTGCTGCCCACCGTTTGGACCAGAGCTCAAATGAACGACAACCACATTAAATAGGGTCGCAACGGCATAGAGGTCCTGCGGAACTTCGAACCAGTGAGTCGGTCCACAAGAGCCTCTGGCCCACCTTATGCGACGGAGTCCGGCCTCGATATCTCTAAAATAGATGTACTCGTACAATTCAGGGTGGCTGTCGACCTCCTTCGCAATGTTTTCTCTTGCATCTGCCCAGTACTTCTGATGACCATACATATGACTCGCGATGACCCGAAATCCGCAGTTACCATCCGCATCCACATTCAGGTAACTCACTATGTAGTCCAACATATGCCAGGGGATACATTGCCAGAATGAAAATCCAAAAATATTTGTCGGTCTAAACTCTGCAATAAGTATCATAATAATTTCACGTCACAATTTATATAATCATATAAATACTTTAATTAACGCTCAGCCGTATTTTAAAAAAAAAAATTTATGACCTTCATCCCCTTGTGACTGTTGAGAAGACGAACTTGTCTGTCCACGCGAAGAATTGGTCGTACGGCTCGATTTCCGACCTCGCGATTTTTCGTTGTACTCAAAAGCAGATGGTTTACGCTTAGTTGAATTAGTTTTCTTGGGACGACCTCGCGGGTTATCCTTAACCTCAGGTTCCGCATAATCCTGTTGGTCTGGGTAAAGATGACTGTACATGAACTTATTCACGTACCGCATCATCGCGGGATCGCGGATTTCAACCTCAGTCACAAGCGTATGAAAGAACGCCGCATCTGACCATGCAGCGTTGCTCGCCTGGCTCGGATGACCAGTCCCTACAAGTATACGATTAAAAAGTCAATGAATTAAAACAAATAATGTATTTTAACAGAAAATTATAAATAAAACATTAATCTTAAATTACTTGGATCTAATATCTCGAGCGTTCTCCAGAACTGGTGAATCATTCCGAGATCAATCGGAACGTCGAAATCGTCTGCGTTACGGAGGAGACAGGCACAAGGAAGTCCATGAGTGAGCTGCAATACACAACCGCAGCTAGTGTAAACATCGGTGTCCAACTTGTGCATCCTCGTAAGCTCAGCGTCCAATAAACTCAGACAGTAATGCGAGACCCTCAGTATCACGCTCGCGAAACGGATTCTCTTATACCGTGTATTCTTCTTAGATCTCGAGGCCTCAAGCGCCGTCCTGATAATACGTTACATAACGTTAGATTATAATTAATTAATGCAGTAATATAATAACGCATTTAAAAATTGCAGTACGTACTTGATTTCAGTCACTTGATTATCGATATGCTTATTAATCTTCTGCCAAACCGTATCGAGCGCGCCGGTGGACGTCTGAAGCCACTCCTTCAACGCAGAGTGGGCACTCTCCACCCTACAGGAAGTTGTGTTTCCAAAATGTGTCACTCGGTTGGTCCAAGCCTTCACAAACTTCTCGCGGTGCACTAACCATGTGCCCCCACATACCGTATCACCTCTGCATTGTTCGAATATTTTGCGCGCAGCTCGGCAACGGCATCGTTGTAGGCATCGAACGTACTGGCCTCTGCAATCGCCTTCCACGTACTGTGCGTGAAAATCTTCGAGAATTTTTTATTCTTCCCAAATAGGTGGTAGGTTCTGGCTTCCACATCCTTGTTGATGTGCCACGTGCAGAGTAAGTGGGCTGATTCAGGAAAATGCCTCTGAATAGGAGTGAGTAGACCCAACTCTCTGTCACTGACAACAACATGAGGATATATGCTTTGGCCTATCAGTAGTCTCAACTTCTCTAGAACCCAGTCGTAACTGGTCTCTTTCTCGTCCCTGATGAGGGCATACGCAATTAGGAAGTTCTGGTTGCACGGCATCATCCCAATCATCTCGACCAACGGCATCTTGTACCTGTGCAAATGTGACCAAGAAGACAAAAAATATAAGCACATAAA